CCAGAGGACACAGGGAAGCCAGTGGGAGATGGCTTCTCATCCCCTTCTGTTATAGGAGGATCACAAGGTGTTTGTCCAAGACAGATTAGCTGCACTTCAAGTCAGCCCTTGCCTATGTGGCTTATTTGGATACCTGCAAGGAGGTCAGGTGACAAGGCAGAACTGTTCCCTCACACCTCCTTGGCCTGTGGGTTAAGGCTATCATATTGCAGAAAGCTAACAGGAAAACTCTTCAGTCTGCTTCCCCTGTCCCCAGCTAGGACAGTAAATCATAAAGAGTATCACATCCCCAGGGGGAATGGAAGTCTCTGAGTGCAACCCTTGAAGACCTGATAGCTGACAGTCCCCATCATATTCCTGTTTTCACCAGTCTGGCTCTGGCAAAAAGCAGACCAATCCAGGAGGTTGACAGTTGACTACTGCAAATTCAACCAAGTCGTAGCTTTAGTTGCAGTTGTACCTTCACTAGAGCAGATTCACAAGACCTCATGGTATGTGGCCACTGATCTGGCAAATTTTTCGCTCCCATCACCATCAGGAAGGAGAGCCAGAAGCAAGAGTATTGTCCCAGGGCTATGTCCTAAATAAGAATAATCAAGGTAAGGGGATCAAGGTAAGGATCCTCACATAGAGGCTTCACGGGCAATGGAAAGATGGAAAGTTAAGATTCCAACTCTAGCTAAGGGACACTATATGGGATTTTTACTCAAATTTCTGACCATCAGTTCATATATTAGGACTATACCTAATGGAGGGAATAAAAGCTTTAAAAAAAATCCCAAGATGGAACAGCTTCATAAACCACATTCTACGTTGGAATCTCATGAGTATGATAGAATGTTTCCTTGATCACAAAGACTCAGTGTTGCTCCCTGAGGAATGAGTAAATTATCCTGCCCTGTTGAACTCAACAATGGCCATGTGACTTGGGTGGCCAATGAAATAGGAGTAGAATGTGAAATATGTCACTTTCAGGCAGCCACTTTAAGAGCTAGGTTCTCTTTTACCTGCCTCTGTGATCACGGAAGCATGTGTCAAGATGGAGCATCTATCAACCTAGATCCCTAAGTGACTACAGGAGCACAGCCCCTTTGCTAACCTACTACAGACATAACATGAGCAATAAATAGGTTTTGTTTTAAGTTACTGAGATTTGGGCATCAGTCTGTTAGTAACTAACACAGCATGTCTAAGCAATCCTGACCAGATAAGAGGAGGCTCTCCCTTAGAGTCTGCTTATCTGCCCAAAGCCCAGATATTCTTGGCCTTTGCAGTGGACATTTGTAGTTGCCTTTCCAGGATCCATTTCCCTGTCCCATAGCTTCTGACAGTGGTTTCCACACGATTCCAGTAAAGCTGACTCTGTCCCAAGCTCCACGGGAAATTCTACCTAGGCTAAACCAATCAGAACATTCCATTTCCCTGACCATAAGGATTAGGTCAGTAGTGGACATGTGCCCTTAACTGGCCCAGTCAAAGTGAGTCTTAGGGCTCTTTCTGGGAATGCACATACTTACCAATATTACAATGATTTTCACATTTCTTTATCATTAGTTACACACTGTCTGACTAAGTGGAATACGTATTATTGAGAACCAGGATCCTAATTTATCTTTTTATTGCCAGAACCTGGCATAATGGTTGGCACAAAGTAGATGCTTATAAATAATCATTGATCAATTAAAAGGGGAATAAAATTTACTCCTTTTCTTTTAACTTCACTCCTCAAATTTCAGGGCCACCTATCTAACTGCATAGCCACATTCAACTATTTGCATCTCTGTCCTTTCCTCCATCCTGATTTAAGAATAAATGATATGCCCAATGTTGGTCTTTCAAAAACCTACAGGGGGCTTCCCTGGTGGCGCAGTGGTTGGGAGTCCGCCTGCCGATGCAGGGGACATGGGTTCGTGCCCCGGTCTGGGAAGATCCCACATGCCGTGGAGCGGCTGGGCCCGTGAGCCATGGCTGCTGAGTCCGCGCTCCACAACGGGAGAGGCCACAACAGTGAGAGGCCCGCATATCAAAAAAAACAAAAAAAAACAAAAAAAACCCTACAGGTAAAAATTTCCTTCTCATTTGCCTGGGATATGTATGGCATTTGTATGGCTACTCGGGCCAGATCTGTTCTGGGCTCCCTTCTGCTGAGCAGTGTCAGCACCAAAATCCCCACACGGACTGAAGTAACTGTCTGCCTCTTTGGGACTGTACCATACCGGCCACGTGCTACTTCAGAAGTCTCAGTTCCACTACCAGTTCATGCGTTCTTCCTAAATCGGTCCTTAAAATGCCCAGAAATAATACCAAATACCAAACAACCTCCAGGATGATTCTAACCTTTCCCGTTCTCCTCAAATCACCAACCTCCCTTTTCTCCCTCCCCTCAAACCCCTAACCCCAACATTCATAACTTAGCCTCCTCCAGGGAAAACAGAAGTCATCACATGGGAGTTCTCTCATTTTCCTAAAAACAAGTATCTACAATATCCTATGCTCACCTCCAGTTGTGATAGAGGAAGCATCCCTCCTCCCCTTGTCCCACCTCCTATGTTTTGAATCCTATCTCTCCCTTATAAAAAAAAACTTACACCATCTCTCAATCCTTCTCTCTCACATATTCATCTACTTTTTCATGAATCCTTCCCATTAGTTTTTTAAGATTTTTTTTTGATGTGGACCATTTTTAAAGTCTTTATTGAATTTGTTACGATATTGCTTCTGTTTTACGTTTTGTTTTTTGTTTTTGTTTTTTTTGGCCCCGAGGCATGTGGGATCCTATCTCCCTGACCAGGGATTGAACCCGCACCACCTGCATTGGAAGGAGAGGTCTTAACCACCGCACCTCCAGGGAAGTCCCCCCATTAGTTGTTTTGTTTCGTTTGTTTTGTTTTGTTTTTTGCGGTACGCGGGCCTCTCACTGTTGTGGCCTCTCCCGTTGTGGAGCACAGGCTCCCGACGCACAGGCTCAGCGGCCATGGCTCACGGGCCCAGGCGCTCCGCGGCATGTGGGATCCTCCCGGACCGGGGCCCAACCCCGCATCTCCTGCATTGGGGGGCGGACTTTTAACCCCTGCGGCCCCAGGGAAGCCCCGCCCCCCCCCCATTAGTTTTTAAATGCACTCAAGTCTTCTCTTTCAAAAAGCTTCACTTGACTTATTCCCCATTAGCTACAACCTATATTTTTCCTTCCCCTCTCATCCAATCTTCTCTTTATCTCCTGAAGAGAGGAAAAGCAGTGAGGTATAGTGGTTAAGAACATGGATCCTGGCACCACACTACTTGATTTGAAACACATTGTTTAATGGCTCTGCGACCATGGGCAAGTTACTTCACCTCCCTCTGCCTCAATTTCCCCATATGCAAAAAGATTATAATATCATCTCTCTGGTGTAAGCATTAAATGAGTTAGTATTGATATATGTCAAACACCGACAACAGTGCTTGGCACACAGTAAGCACTATATAAAGGTTTGCTATAATCCTTTTACTTTTATTTCTTCACTTTCACTCTTTAGCCCATTCTGATCCCATCACTTCACCATGAAGTGTTTACTAAGAACACCAATGACCTCTATGTTGCTAAATCGAACAACTATTTTTCAGTCATCATCTTACTTGAGGTCTAGGCAGCAGTTGACAATGTTAACACTCTCTTCTTAGAACATTCTCTTTCCTAGTCCAGGGCTTCAACTACCACCTACCTGCCAGTGTCTTGCCCATCTTTATCTGGAACCCAGACCTCTCTTCTATGCTCCAGATCCCACAAAGCCAGAGGTCACCTGGATATTCTCCCTTTGAAGGTCTCAAGGGCATCTCATGTGCACTACATCCAAAACTGAGCCATGGCCTTTCTCTCCCTAACTCCCTCTGGCTTAAATATTCTTTAGGCCCCTCTTCATTTGGCTGACCCCTACTCCTACTTTAGAGTTTAAATGAAGTGTCACTTCCTCAGAGAAGCCTGAGGTGAAAGCCCTAAAAGAAACTTTCATAGCACTTGGTACCTCTACTTCATACCTGCAATTAGATGATAAGCTACACGAGTGCAGGGACCATGCCTGTCTTCTCACTACTGTATCCCAGGACCTGAATGCAGTAGCCTCCAGAGCCCTTTCATTTGCACTAGGCTCTATCTGCACTCCTGAACAAGTATAAACTGTGCCACTTTGTGCCAGGCTAAGACTACTAGTACAGTTAAAACTTGACAAAGTGCAAAGAAGCATAGCAGAGGAAATAGTATTTAACCAAGCCCCCAAATTACTTTCAGTTGCAATAAGAGGCTCATGGATGGCAATTTTTTTTTTAAGCCTAACTTGGGGAGATTCATCCATTGGGCAACCAACATTTTGCATCGCCTCTAACAGTGCAACAAGTCCAGGCAATCAGAGCAATTATGTGTGGGTTTCCGCCATTGTGTTTACACCTCACTATCACTTGGGTACCAGTACCCAAACCTACCTTAGCAAGCCAACTGCCTATAACTCAGCACTCCTGTGTCCCAGTACATAGCAGCTTTTTGCGACGAGGTCCGCCATGAGTCCAGGCAGCTACACTGTCACTGGGGAGTCTTGAAGGCAGAGAAGTTCAAGGGAGGAAAAGTCGAGTTCTGAGCATGGGTGGATGTTTTAGTGAACAGACCGCTCTTAAAGCGCGGAGGAGTAAATAATAGGGCTGAAAGACAACACAGTAGACTTCGCAGGTGTGACAGGGCTGAAAAGTGAAGGCGCGCAAGGGCGCGCCTGCTGGTACACTGGGACCCGTTCTCTCAGAGTCAATCCCGCGAGACTATAATTCCCGGGGATTCCCTCTAACTCCAGGCAAACGCCCGTAGGGGCGGGGAAAGAAGAGAGGTCGGCGCGCAGCCGTCCGCTTTACAGCACTCCGGGATCTCGAGAGAACTGCGGTTCTCGCGATCTTTCCGGAGCCGACCCTCCACGAGGATTCCTTGTGCGTGTGCTGTAACGGGAGGGCAGGGAGGGTTTTGACTCTACGGGAGGGAGAATCCCCTTTGGCCTGCCCTACGGAAGCCTGCGAGGGAGTGCGGCGTTCGCTGCGTAGTCCAGTTGCCCAGATGCCCAGCGCCAGCGCCTGCCGCAAGAGTCAGGAGAAGCCGCGGGAGATCATGGACGCGGCGGAAGTGGGTTTCCTCCTTCCTTGGGCCTGGGAGGACAGACCCCTGGGCCGGACCGCGCTGAGGGAGGGAGTATGGTGAGCGGGGCCCTAGCCTCTGGATCCCTGTCGGCACTTTGCGTGCAGGCCGCGAGCCTGGGATCCGGGCGCCCAGAGCCCTCACCGGGCCTCCAGGGCCCTTGTCCGAGCAGCGTGGCCAGACCCACTCCGGATCGCATTTCTCACTGGGGCGCCTGGGAGACCTGGCCTGCAGGAAGCGTGTCCCGGGACTGGGGGATCGGGGTGGCGCCGTGAAGTACCAACTGCCCCGAAAGTAGGAGCGGCGGGGTGACATTTAACCTCCCTGGGTTAGGCACGTCCTTCGCGTAATCCATCTCTTACCCGGAAATTTTTAATGTCCACTAGTAATCGATTTTTGCTCTGCCCTCGTGTTCCTAATGTTTTTCAAGTAATGACAGTACTTCGTAAAACGATCTGCCAGCATGTTTAATGACCATTTTCCATGTGACAGCTTTAAAGAACACTTGTCATTTTTATTTTCTTTCTTCCCCTAAGTAACCCAAGTAAGGCAGGTAGGGAAGTTTGCAGAGAATGCATTTGAAGTCTTTGAGATGATGTGACCCAAAGTCATCTATGTAATTCATAATACCCTGTGGTCCTTCAGTGCTTTTCGGAAATGGAAGTTTGAAACCATTCTACAAATTATGTGTGCTCTTAGTGAAATTGGGATCCCTACCTGGCTCCTTATTTTTCTTTTGAGGAAATATGAATTTGTGATAAAGTGCGTAAGGTCATTTTAAGAACATTAGTTGGAATAAGGGGTGCTGAAATATGAACAGTACTAATAAGCGACCCCCTTTTTTCTGTTCACGTGCTGTAACCTATTTATGCTGCCCTCCTGCTACACTGTGTGACTGTATCTTTCTGTTAGGGCTGGAGTTATCTTCGTCTTTAAGGTGTATTTTTTTTATTTCGCAAAAAAAAATGAAAAAACTGTTCATTAAACACCTTAACATGTTGTCTGGTTTGTTTTGGTGTAAACACAAAATCTAATATCCTCCAAATCTAAAGGAGAGGATTCCAACAAATAGCTGTAGTGACAGAAACTAACTGTTTCATCCACATCCTAAGTTACCTTGTAAATTTTAAGGAAACCATTTTTGTGTATTCTTGATCTAATTAGTTACATAAACCACCTTTGCAGATAGTGTAGGTCTATGTATAAGGTAGACATTGTGGCAGAGTTATGTAACTTTATAGCTAGAAGGATCTTAAGAGATCATTTTCTAGATAAAGTGAGATTAAAATAAAAGGCCACTTACCAATTTAATAAGTACAGTTTGTTAATAACAGTCTGGACTCTAGGTCTCCTTTTTCCTGTTCCTGACTTAAAATCTGTAACAAGAATTTTGGTGTCATACTGTCAGTGTTGAACCACTTACAACCTGATATCATGAAGATGGTTTTTAGAAACAGGAAGCTGGTGAATTTTTTTGATGATGTTTTACAAAAGGAAAGTTGTAGTTAGCTTATATCCAGCATCTCTCATTTCTAAAAACTGGGCATCTGGTACTCAGAAAGCTTACCCCTAAATGTTTGTTCTCTTTGAACATCTCTTCCTGTAATAGGAAGTTAATAAAACTGTGGTACCTCATCCTTCTCCCTTCACAGAGGAAATTTATAGCTCTGCTTTGAAGTAGTTTATAATCTCCTTTTTGAAAAAAGTAGTTGAGATGTGTTGTACATGTGTGTAAATTTTATTTGAGAGTGCTATTTTGTATGGTATATCGATCCAGGAGTGGTGATCTTCAAAACAAATTAACCAGAAGCTGGGTCTGTGGAGTGCATATGTAAATGCTATGACAGATTTCCACACTTTAAAACTACTACTATGAATTGATAAGATGGTCCTGAAAGTTTAAATGAATTCATCTATTTCTGTTATTTGTATTTCTGTGTTTACTATGCTATTAGTGTTTAAATAAAAAGTCATAATGTAAAAATGTTTCTTGTAGGATTATGCAAAAGAAAGATATGGAGTATCTTCAATGATACAATCACAAGAAAAACCAGGTTAGTAGTTATGTGATAAAAAAAGTGTTTTTTTCTTTTTAATTCCAGGAAAGTTCTTTATGAAGTTTTGAGTAAGGTTGACGTAACTGAAGGCATAGTTCTGAAAAGTTTAAATGGCAAGCATATGCCATAACCCTGCACAGACATTGTCAATTTAGGGTCCCTGATCTCGATAAGGAAGAAAATATGTTAAATCAGTATATTTTATTTTATTTTATTTATTTATTTATTTTTAGTGTATTTTAAATGGTAAATTATATTACAAAGGTATTCCTAGGTAGTCATGTAAAAGATTTGACTCTGGCCTAGGAGATAAAAGATAGTTAAATAGTAGCTGCCTTCATCATATGCAACCTTTTTTGCATGCTTTGTGAAGCTACCTCCTTTACTTTCCTCCTTGACTTTATTATATTTCTTTGAAATTGACTTGTTAATTGTTTCTCTCAGACCTGTAGGTTTTCTATTTGTAAACATTTGTCTTCCTTTTGTTTCTATTTTATATATGCGATTTCAACAAAGTTATCCTACTCAACTATTTAACAATCATTTTTCTTTTGTTAGACATCCCAAATTATGTCTTTCAAACTTTGGTACAACTGCAGACCTTTAAGCTCTGGCCCATTGGAAGCACTAAGTACTTCTAATTTAGATGCCTGCCTGTGAATTTTATGCTTTGAAAATAATATACCCCAAGTCAAATTTAATTGTTATTTTTGGATTTAATTTATTGCGTGATCACAAAACCACTTTTCCTTCCCAACTTTGTTGGAAAAGTGTGCAGTGAAAGGGCAAAATAGGTTGCTAAGAATAAACCATTTCGAAAGATAAAGATAGTGAAGTAAAGTAATTGAGTATAAAATGGGATACAAGCAATATAGTATAGGAGAGGACTACCCCTGCCAGAACAAGCAGGAGGGGTCATATGAGACTCTTTTTCGGCTTAACTGTCTTCCTGAACTGGACTTCCTTGATCTCTAATGCAAAAAAATCTTATTGGAATTTGTCTCTTACATAAGCCCCAGTCACCCTTTGCCATGATTACTATTCCTATTTAGCTAGCAAATCCAGAGCTTCTAGTTACAAGCTCTCCCCACCAAGAGGAGGATAAACTACCTACATAATCTGATTACATTAAATAACAGTAAAATTCTATGCTTGGTTTTACCTCTGTTAAAATCATAATACATTGTTCAACATAAAGTTTTCTTTCCTGTCTGCTTCCATTTCTCCACATTCTTTCATTCTAATACCAGTGACTTAACCGTGGAGGAGGTAGTAGTTTTTCAAACTGAAACCCTACTGCCACTGATCTTTGCCTCGGTCAGTCATACTGGTGGGAGTGTGACATGCGCCTCAGGTATGTGTGGATATGTTAAAGGTTGAGAACCCCTATGCTAATTAATTGGAATGACACATGAAAGAAGTGCCATTACTCTTTCTTTTCCAAAGTACTATTAAAATTACCATAATCGTGATGCTTATTTATAAGTCTATTCTTTTAGACTTAGGTTATTCTATTTTGTTTGGTTTTGAGTTTTGATTGCCTAGTAAGTCATTTGCTTTTTCAATCTTGGCATTTTCAGATCTGTCTTTTAAAATTGCTTTGTCTGTCTTTTCTCTTTCACACTTCGTTTTGTCTGAGTTCACACAGCAGACGTGGAAGTTGGCTTAACTCATAAGGTCCATGGACAGAGTTTTGCAGAAATCCTCTTGTGATGCCTAATGCTTCAAAATTTCTCATTCATTCTCTTTGCTTTTGGCGATGAGATCTATGGTATTCTGTAAATCAGGATCTCTCTAAGCTACATCTTCAAGAGACAAATTATAAATACATTTAGACAAAGTAGGTAAAATATAATTTGATTTCATTATAATATCCCCCACAAAGGTATTTTTAGTATTATAGTAACTAGGATTTACTACATGTCATACTGACAAATTTGGTTACAATTAGGCACCATAACCCTTAAGAATAGTGGTCTTGTATCATTCATGATGTTGTAGTATCATTTCTATTAAAATATTTTAAATTAATACTTAGATCTTTTTCTTTAATATTCAAATTATTGCATATTTAGAACAATAATAGAATCATTTCTGGATCATTTCTGGATCATGATTGCCTTGTATCACTATCTTCACATCATAGTTTTTTCACAGTTTTCCTGTTTGGGGGATGCTAGATAGATGTAGTACTTTGTTAGTAGCATTGGGGGGCATAATTGTTGGGGTTCACCGATAGCCAGAAGGGGAATTTATTGGTTCACGTACCTGTAGGAAACAAAGTGTGAGGTGGCATAAGGCATGATAGGATTTAGAGGTTTGAGCATTATCTGTGGGGCTTTCTGTCTACTTCTTGGCTTTGCATTCATTAGGCTGTTGACCTCATTCACTCATCCTGCAAATTCAGGTAGTAGGAAAGATGGTGGCTGCAGCCCTGGCTTACACCATCTCAGCTCAGCGACCCCAGGGAAGACAGATTCATTCCCATTATCTGTATATTAAGTACCAGAGAAGGACCTTGATTAGCTCAGTTTGAGTAACATGCCCTTCTCTGGGTGAGTCAGTGTGTCCTGGGAACGGGGTACTATGACTGTCCAGGCCTGCCAGAGAATTCCCCCATGTGGCTAGCTGACTTACACACTATGGCAGGCAAGCAAAAATACCACGTCCACTTAGGCACAGGCAGTTCAGCACAGGCTGTATTTGGCTTTATAAGTCATTGAAGTGTTCAGGAGATTTGCATTTTGGAATTATCTCTTTGACTCCAAAGTAGACTGAATTAGGGGGTCAGGGGATTGCCAGTTAGAAGGCTTTTGCTATAGTTTAGGCAAGATATAATAATAGTACTTTGCTTTGGAATGGTGGCAGTGAAGATGAAAGAGAATTGGATAGATTTTAGAGATATATTTAAGATGTACAATTCATAAAACTTGAGGCAGACTACATATGGAAGGTGAGAGAAGGTGTTAACCCTCATACAGTGTGAGTAGGAAGGTAAATTGGTGGAGCCACTATGGAAAATAGTATGGAGGTTCCTCAGAAAATTAAGAATTGAACTACCATATGATCCAGCAGTTCCACTTCTGGGTATTTATCTGAAGAATATGAAAACACTAATTTGAAAATATATGTGTACCCTTATGTTCACTGCAGCATTATTTACAATAGCCAAAATATAAAAACAACCTAGGTGCCTATCAACAGATTAATAGATATAGAAGATGTGGTCTATATATTTAATGGAGTACTACTCAGCCATAAAAAAAAAATGAAACCTTGCCATTCACAACAACATGGATGGACCTTAAGGGTATAATGCTAAGTGAAATAAGTCAGATAGAGAAAGATAAATACTGTATGATTTCACTCATATTTGGAATGTAAAAGTAAGTAAGTAAATAAATAAATGAACAAACTAAACCAAACAACAAACACATAGATAAAGAGCAGAGTAGTCATTACCAGAGGGGAAGGAGCATGGGGGGAGGGTGAAATGGGTAACAGGGTCAACAGTATTGTAATGGATGGAAAGTAAACTTTTGGTGGTGAGCATGCTGTAGTGTATGTAGATGTTGAAATACAATGTTATAAACATGAAACTTATGTGATGTTATAAACCAATGTTATAAACCAATTAAAAAGAAAAGCAAAAGAAAAAAGTGTTGCTAGATATTGAGAATCCTTTAAGATAATACCAAGTACTATGCTAGCTATCAAATCAAAATAATTTTGATCTTGATCTCTTTGTAAATTCTGAATTACAAGATTGTTTCATTTATTTGCTGCAGATCGAGTTTTGGTTCGAATTAGTGACTTGACAGTACAAAGAGCTGATGAAGTTGTTTGGGTGCGTGCAAGGGTTCATACAAGCAGAGCTAAAGGTAAGATTGATTAAATGATTACAGCTTTTTTGGTAATCATTGAATTTTTTTGTTTTGCAAATTTCTCACAGATCAAAGTAAATCTTTAAAAACAAAACAAAAACACCTGTTTTCCTTCTTAAATCACTATAAACTATTAGTCCATGATTAGTTAATTTTAGGTTCTTATAAAACATCCTTAAAAACAATTTAGCCTTAAAACTCAGATGAAATCTAAGACTCTAAGGTACTTTTCTAGCACCTCTCAAAAGTTTAATTTTTTGAAGTAAAGAGTGTTTTTGAGAAGTTTTTCATTTGTTAATATTCTTACATTTGTAATATTTAGATAGGGAGAGAGAAGAAAGATAAGGCTAAGACTGGGTTGTTTAGTACTCACTGGCTACATTTAGCTATTTAAATTTAAATTAAAATTCTATAGCTCAGTCACCAGCTGTATTTTGAGTGCTGGTGGCTCCCGTATTGGACAGACAGGACAAATAAAAAATTTTTTTTTTTTGGTGGTATGCAGGCCTCTCACTGCTGTGGCCTCTCCCATTGCGGAGCACAGGCTCCAGACGCGCAGGCCCAGCGGCCATGGCTCACAGGCCCAGCCGCTCCGCGGCATGTGGGATCCTCCTGGACCGGGGCACGAACCCATGTCCCCTGCATCGGCAGGCGGACCCTCAACCACTGTGCCACCAGAGAAGCCCACAAAATATTTTTGTCATTGTAGAAAGTTCTCTTGGACAGTACTAAGAATTTAGCATTAACTGCAAAGAAGAAATATTAGGGAGTTTAGGCAAACCTCAGTTCCTTATGGAAAATTGTCCTAGCCTAGTGTTCCAAATTGTCTGAAAGTATTATTGACACTTATATTGGTTTATAACTTTATACTTTTCACACAGTTTTTCACACTTGATCATCCCCACAAATTTGTGAAGTAGGCAGAATAGGCACTGTTATTCCACTTTATAAATGAGGAGACTAAGGCTCAGAATGATAAAGCTCCTTGCCCAAATTCTCATAGTAATTGGTGGAATATGAAAAGAATTCAGAAGCTTTTTAGGACACCTTCTGTCTCCCTAGCAGAGTTAATTACTTCTGTACTATTTAATACATTCTGTGGTACAGCATTTCTTACTTTGTGTTTTAACATATTTATTATAGAATTATAATACAGGCCCATTATTTTTTAAATTCCAACAGTTTATACATATATATCTTACTCTCTCAGGATCACTACTATTAAGAGTTTATCGGGAGTTCCCTGGCAGTCCAGTGGTTAGGACTCTGCACTTTTACTTTTTTCTTCTCTTTCTTTCTTCTCTTTCTTTCTTTCTTTCTATCCTTTCTTTCTTTCCTTTCTTTCTTTCTTTCCTTCCTTCCTTCCTTTCTTTCTTTTCTTCCTTTTCTTTCTTTCTTTCTTTTTTCATGCATGCATGCATGCTGTGCCAGTTCTTAGTTGCAGCACATGGGATCTTTGTTGCCATGTGGGATCTTTTAGTTGCAGCATGTGGGATCTAGTTCCCTGACCAGGGATTGAACCTGGGCCCTCTGCATTGGGAGCACAGAGTCTTAACCACTGGACCACTGGGGAAGTCCCAGGACTCTGCACTTTCACTGCCAAGGGCCCAGGTTCAATCCCTGGTCGGGGAACTAAGATCCCACAGGCCACATGGTGTGGCAAAAAAAAAAAAAGAGTTTATCTGTTCTTCCAGTATCCTCCCCCAAATAGATGAATACTGTTGGACTTTGAGAAGAATGCTAGTAGAATTTTAACTTTTTAAAAACTGTTGATTTGCCTTCCTGAAAAGTTGGGCCATTTATTTGAGCAATAGATAATCACATTGTACTGTAATCCTTCATTTACTTGTCTTTCCCCCATTGGATTAGGAACCTTCGTTCTCTCCAAACTGGCACCTTGTTTCCTAAACATAGTTATTTAGCAAATTAAAAGATAGAACGCACGCTACATGTAAGCCTGAACCAAAAATACTTCCCTTCACACTCATCCAAAAAATGGAACAGTTTGAATATGAGTAAGGACAACTGCAGTGCGTTGAAACACATCAGATATGTTTAAATCCGTAAGTTTATGATAATGCTAAGGCAAACAGACAGAAAACCTAGTTGGTCATCAATGGAACAAGGTCATTATTTTCAAATCTGGTAAATACTAAACTGGAAGTATCATTTCTGTATGAATTGTATATCACTGGCTAACCAAATGGTAGATACGGGGAAGTGTCTCTTTAGAGAAGTGTCCAGCTAATAAAATGAAGAATATTGAAACATCATCATTTTGCCCCCAGTGAATTATTTAGACATTGATCATCGGTGATTGTTAATGACATAATAGAGAGACAACCAGAAATATTTGATGTCTATTTATGAAAGAACACAACACTACCCAATGAAGTCGTCTTGCCCAAAAAATTGTTCCTGAATCTCATTAAGCCTTTAGCAATAACCAGCAACTTACAAGACAAAGGAACATGTTAAATGACAATGGAGGTGCAATCAGCACAGTCTAGTAGTAAACTACTGGGCAAAAACGACCTGGTCTCTTCAAGAAGTAAATTGAAAGGGAAGGGGGTACCTATGGATTAAAACAGATTTAAGATGTCTCTCAACCAATCACTTATTTGGATCCTAATTTAAATCTACAGTAAAAAAAAAAAAAAAAAGACACTGAGACTTGGATATTTGAACATTGACTGGATATTTGGTGTTTAAAAATTTTTTTTTTCAGTTGAAATAATAGTACTGTTGTAACATTATTTTTAAAAAGATCTTCTTTCTTAGGGATCCTTACTGAATTATGTATGGATGAAATAATAGAGGGTTTGCAGGGGTTTGCTTCAAAATAGTACAGGAATTGAGGGCTAAGTGGATTGGGGCAGAAGTTGAGGAATGAGTGGATTGGAGCAAAGCTGAAACAAGAATAGCCATGAATTGATAACTGTTGAGGTACGTGAGGATTGTAGGTAGGTGTTGATATCATTTACAAATAATGATCATTTTGTCCTTTTCTTTCAAATGTTTATCTTATTTCTTGTTTCTCTGCAATATTCAGTGGATTCTCCAGTATTGCAGGAATTCTCACAATGAAGAATTTTTTAAACAGTGGAGATATAAATTCGTGCTGAGTTATTTCATGACTTTAGGTGTTCTGCATAAAATGTCATTACAAAACAATGCCAAAGTTTAAAAACTAGGTCAAAAGAAGTTTTCTTCTAGTCCAAGTTTTCTGTTATCAGAAGTAGGTATTAAATTTTATCAGAGCTTTTCCAGAAATTATTTCCCTCAAAATACTGTGCTGAGTTATTTTGACTTTAGGTGTTCTGCATAAAATGTCATTACAAAACAATGCCAAAGTTTAAAAACTAGGTCAAAAGAAGTTTTCTTCTAGTCCAAGTTTTCTGTTATCAGAAGTAGGTATTAAATTTTATCAGAGCTTTTCCAGAAATTATTTCCCTCAAAATACTGTGCTGAATATATTTATACAGAGATTCATTATACTATTCTCTTTGCTTTTGTGTTCGTTTGAAATTTTCCACATAATAAAAAATTTACAATACAGTTGATCTTCATTATTCACGGATTGTATATTTGCAAATTCACCTACTTGCTAACATGTATTTGTAACCCCAAAGTCAGTACTTGCAGTGATTTCACTGTCATTCACAGACATGCCAGACATTCGCATGAGCAGAGTGGTAAGAAATTTGAGTCTCCCAGTGCACACATTTTCAGCTGAGGTTAAAAACAATGAAGCTCTGCCTTGTATCAGCTCTCATAAACAAGTGTCCTTTTCACAGTCTATTTAATGCTACGTTCTTCACAGCCTTGTGCTTTTTGTTGGTGATTTGACTGTTTAAAATGGCCCCCAAGCATAGTGCTGAAGTGTTTTCTGGTGTTCCTAAATGCAAGAGAGTCATAATATGCATTATGGAGAAAATACTAGTTGTTAGCTAAGTTTTGTCCAAGCATGAGTTATAGTGCTGTTGGCTGTGAGTTCTATGTTAATGAATCAACTATATATATTTTAAATAAGGTGTCTTTAAACAGAAATACATACAGAACAAATTTGTGTATTGATGGACTGATGAAAATATTGTAACCAGACATTCACAGAAACCTCACCCTATATTTCCCCTAGGAGCAATGGCTCAATATTTGCTAATTTATTGTTCTGGTGACTTTATAAAACATAACTACCACAAATAGCAATAATCAACTGTATGTAATTCTATTGGTTTACAATAATGGATTTATTAACATTGAACCATTTTTGGATTCTTAGAATAAACTGAATTTGGTAAAGGTGTGGGTAGTATTCTTTTAGCTAAGTTTCAATAATATGTTTTTTTGGAATTTTGCATTAATCTGGTTTTCATAATTTTTACTTGGAAAATCCTACTTTGTTTTTAAGTTTGTATGAATGTGTATGTGTGTTTAAGTTGTAAGTTACCCAAGAAATACAAAGTATTTTCACGTGAATTTTTCAGAGTACAGAAATTATATTCCTTTTTCTTCTCTACTGCCTATCTTTTGCCCCAGCCTTTTCTATTAATTCTTAATAATTTGTTCATTGTCTTTCCAAAAATCTTTCTTTTTAATGCACATATGTGCACACACACACACACACACACACACACACAAATACATGTTTTTTGTTTTGTATGTTTTGTCTTATTTTATGTAGATGATACCGTATTTTTACATGTTATCCTGCAACTTTTTTTATTTTCAATTAACAGTGTTTCTTGGAGATACTTCCATGATATTAGTTATAGATCTACATAAGGCAGTATTTCTCTAGGATAGACATCTAGAAGTGAAATTGCTGGGTTGAAGGGTAGGCATACGCATATTAAAATTTTCCAATACCAGATTACCCTCCAAAAAAGCTATACTCAGTGATACTCCCACAAGTATGTGACAGTACCACTTTCTCCACATTCTTGCCAGTAATGATTGTCAATGTGTTTTATTTCTGCCAAAGAAGATTATCTGAA